GTGGTGACTGTCCATGAGAAAATACCATAGAAGTGTATAATAATGTGACAAATCATGTATTTGGTTGAGAGGCAGAGCAGACACAGTGTTACTCACTCAGAATGCTTAATCAGTGGTGTAAGAAAGTAGTTCTCCATGCAAATGTTTTAGGGACTAAAACCTAAAAAAATATTGTAGATAAGCAAGTGTACATGTGATAACCATGGAATAAGTAAAATAATTTACTCCAGAGTGTTGAATTATTGTCCATGTGTTAATTTGGGATTACGGAGTTAATTTTGGATCCATGTTGTGCTTGCTTCAGCTGTTGAGAGCAGACAAGAACAAACTGGAGAGTCAAATGCAGATGATGCAACCTGATATGACAATGTAAGAGCTCTGTAATGCATTTAACACATAGCAATGAAAATATTAGCTGATTAATTGATCTTATTAATGGCAAGCATAATACTTGCACAAACATCAGAAATTGCTTCACATGTTCTTCTAACTGTGTATGTATGTGTTTGCAGCCCAGGTCTCTCTCTTTCTGTGGCCTACAGACTAAATCAGATGAGTTCAGGCTCTCTTCAGACAGAGTTGGCACTGGCACAGAATCCCCTGGAGGTTTGCAGTGTGTTTTGCGTTTGCAATTCCCGTGTATGTCTTTGTCCCGTCCATGATTTGGAGTGTCTCTTTCTCTCCACTCCCACCAGCACTTATGTGCTGTTTTCTGTCCGCCCACTCTCTCCCACTTCACTGCCATAGAGTGCACTCAGTAATCCACACCCTCTCTGTGCTTTATACCAAACTTTAGGCATTACAATGAGTCTGACTACGTGTTTTATTTCACAATTTATTTTTTAATTTTTTTTTGCTGTTGGTGTTTCCATTATTGTAGCTGGTGATAACTACATACTAAAAAACAATATTGTTTATACTCACTGGCCACTTTATTAGGTATACCTTGCCAGTACTGGGTTAGACCATCTTTTGCCTAAACTGCCTTAATTCTTCATGGCATAGATTCAACAAGGTGCTAGAAACATTCCTCAGAGATTTTGGTCCATATAGTCATCACAAGATAGGTACACTGTGGTCATAAAGCGATGGACATGGGTGTGGTCAGCAACAATACTCAGGCAGGCTGTGGCGTTTAAACAATGCTCAATTGGTACTGAAGGGCACAAATTGTGCCAAGAATATATCTCCCACACATTACACCACCAGCAACCTGAACTGTTGATACATAGCAGGATGGATCCATGCTTTCATATTGTTTATGCCAAATTCTGACCTTACCATCTGAATGTCAGAAATCGAGACTCATCCAATCTATCTATAGTCTTAATTTTGGTGAGCTTGTGCAAATTGTAGCCTCAGTTTTCAGATCTTTGCTGACTGGAGTGGCACCCAGTGCAGTCTTCTGCCGCTACAGCCAATCTGCTTCAAGGTTCGACATGTTGTGCTTCCAGAGATGATCTTCTGCATACCTTGGTTGTAACAAGTGGTTGTTTGAGTTACTGTTGCATATCTACCAACTCTAACCAGTCTTTCCATTTTCCTCTAACCTCTGGCATCAAAAAGACCTTTTCGCCCACAGAACTGCTGCTCACTGGATATTTTCTCTTTTTCTGACCATTCTCTGTAAACCCTAGAGATGATAGATATTTATTTATTTATTCAATTAATAAGTATAAATAAATACAAAATATAAAAATGTATATATTTATAAAATATATTTGTTTTAAATATTTTAAATGTTATAGTATGTTGTAATATTATAAAATATTGATAGAAATTAATTTTATATTGCTTATACATTATTATACATTATGCATGTCTGTGTATTTTTAGGGTTTGGAGCATCTGTCCTCCTCTGTTTGTTTTGCATCTTCTCTGGATGTGACTCTAGATCGTGAAGTTCTTCTGCTCCTGCAAGGCCCGACTCCAGAGCAGCTGTCTCTAGAGTATAAAACTCTGATCAGCAGACTGGTAACCAATTAACCAGCCATCACACGCACAATTTTTAAGCAACCTTCAGTTAGTCTGATATTAATTTTGTCAGCTTTCCATCCTTAGACACCTGAATGCTGGTTTAGTATGATGCTGGTGTTTTGGAGTGTTCACAGTGTGTCAATCATGAATTGTTCCAGAAAAGGGAGTTTAAGGAAGACTGCATGACCTGTCTCACAGCATTCAGAGGCCTTACAGAGCACATTGAAACTAAGGAGGTCAACACTGACCTCAAGATACAGGTAAAGGGATTTCTCCAACTAAGTCAAATTGGAAAGTATCCATCAAAACAAATTTAACTAATCATGATAACATTATATGGAGATACACATGGGCAGTTAAAATTATACAAGAACTCCTCTCCCCTTGTCTGAACTTTTATCTACCACATTGCATAACTGCCTGGCTGGACATGGTCACTCTTATTGTGTGTATTCAGTGGACTGCATCAGTATGTGTGGTCTTCACCGATGGTCGACTATACAGGCCAATATTTAGGCTAATTCCTATGATGCACAGGGGCAGTGTGTCAGGTCAGAGGAACTCTGTGACTCTCCTTAAGATGATCTTTGATTAAACTTTTTGATCTTCTTACCGCATTCAGTAAGATTTAGCTGGTATTAATGACTGACTGGTGCACTGTGTGATGTATTTAGTCATTAAACCTCATTGTTGATTTTGTGAACTCCTGCAGGGCCTGGAGGTGGCAAGGCCTTACCAATTTAGTCCATGTCTGTGTGAATGTCTCTAGAAGCTTTTGTCAAGGGGCTGTTCCGTTTGACCCCCTCAAGCTGTTTTTGGTTCACTTGAAGAGGTGTCGCTAATCGGACATTACACGTTTTTCAAGGCTACGTTAGTCAGTGTACTTTGGATAAAAGGCAAAGGCTGTTGAGAGAAGCCAGGGAAGTTAAGGAGTTGCACTGTCCAGTGGTGCTCTAAGATTGGGGTGAAGGAGCAATGGGACATTGCTTGGGCCTGCGGATTGGGTATAGTATGTCCTTCTTTTGCTTTTGTAGCATTTGTGAACAGTTCAGACATTTGCTGAGGATGTATGGGGATTATGTTTGTTGGAATGTGTTTTCTGTGTAACGAGACTCTTTAGGTACCTCACTAATAGGTTTTGATTGAAGTCATGATCCGATTCTTGATGTATTTCAAATTTTTATCAACATTGCAGGGGCATGGTCTCATGTGTAAGGCTTTTCAATAACCAGAATAATTGTATTTTTGTAGACTGAGCTATTCGGAGTCATTTGGGGGGGTGGGGGGGTGGGAGGGGGTCAGGATTAATCCGTGAATTGATTTTCATTCACTTTTTTGCAGAAGTTGCAATATAGTGAGTTTGCACAAAAGGTTTAGTCAAAGAGAAATTGTGTTTTTGAAGTTTTGTGAATTCAGTGGGTTTTGTGTGAATTTTTAGGGTACAAGAGCAGGAGAATCAGAAGGAGCAGTTGCAAGAGGAACTTGACCGACTAAAGGCTCCGCTGGACAACAGAGCGGCCAGCAGCCAAACACCGGATCACCTACAGCAGGTATTGAACCTCACTGAACACTTGCTTTCACTGCCTGCACATGCTTCAGCATATGTGGGCTTTAAAACTCATGACAGATTTAGATTCAGCCCTGGGAAAAACAGAAGTAAAGATTTTTGCGAGCTTCTGCAGATCACAGATGGATACTTTTACAGTCTCATTACAAGATGCTGAGCGCTGTGTGTGTAGGAGGCAAGTGTGGTTTGTGAGCCAGTTTGAAACTTGACTTCATCTCAAGAGATTCGACGCTATTGACTTATTACCCCACAATGTTCTTATGTTCAGAACTTGGTTCATGTCTTCGTTTGATTCACTTTTATTATTTTCCAATTCAGTTTATTTGTATATATTGCTATGCATATTGTTCCAAAATCTCCAAAAGCTTGCCAAAATGTTCAAGTTAATGAAGAAGAAACCTTTTGAAGAACTAGGAGTAAGCTGGGGAGGCCCATATACTTTTAATATAGTGTTTGTTGACCTGTGTGGTTGACATGTGACTGGTGACATGTGACTGGTGTGATTGTGTACCTTCAGGTTGTGGAAGAGCTGGATGGCCCCTCTCTTGAATGGGATGAGGAATATGTGTTGTCTGAGTCTCCACCTTTACAAGAGCTCGGGCCTGACCAGGAGATGCTTCAGGAGCTCTGTTGTGATGAAGAAGAACTACAGGCCCTGAAACAGGAGGAGGAGGAGGAGGTGGAACACACAGAGACTGTGGAGGACAAGGAGAAGATAACGGAAAGGGCTGAGGGAGAAGGTGAAGTTTAGAGATTCTGAAGAGGTTTCAAAGTTAGTGTCTGAAATTGCAAGATGGTGAAGGTTTTATACTCAAATGGTGTGTTTTTCTTCTCTAAAGAAGAACCTTTTTGGATGTGAATAAGTCTTGATTCAAGTCTAATGGGGGTGTGTGATTTGAGATGAAGTTGTCTGGTGTACATGGTCACACCTAGTGGTCTGTGTCAGATTCCTCGGGCCATATAATCCTTCCTTACCCTTTAGTGGCACAGGACAGGAAGCCATCCCTGAAGCTTAAACACAAGCTGGAAAAGCAGGGTCACTCTAGCTCCAGACCTTTTTTGGCTTTCCTTCTACCATTGTTCTGCCATCTTTGGTCAGTATGTAAAGTAAACCTTTATCCTCTGTCCCCCATCCTTGACCACATGACTGCTGAATAACAACAAGCTTGTCACTTTATAAGCCCCATTATGTGACCATAACAACTGGAAATGACATTAAAGCATTAAAAAATTTAAAATGTGAAGTATAAATAGGCTGATTTTTATATCTCTAAAACTTTTTTAATAGCACCATTTGTATTATAAATATTTCTAATCCAGTTGCTATTGTGTTGAAAAATGTTTATGTACTTTGTAATCTTTCCTGAAAATTTAACAATTATTTCTGCTTCTGAAATGTTTGGTTAACAACCCCTAGGCTAAGATATTTAGGCTTTTGTTTTAAATTTACAGTTAACACGTGTTTATGGGATGCACAGTGTATTGGTAACATATTAGTTATTGGCTGATTTTTTTATTTAAAATCTCTAAATGAATAGCAGTTGTTTGTACTGTACATTTTAACATTGTGATGCCTACATTTCACATTGAAAACAATTGATTTTAAATGTTTTATTTATTTTCACAAAATAGTATAGAATTTTAATATTAGTTAAACCTTATAGGTGAATCCTTTCTTGTGCTCATTAAATATGCTGCTCTGCTAGGAAATATGTCATGTAAATAAAATGGGTTATGAATGCCATTTCATTACCTTTTTTTCTCTCTTTTTCAGAAACTCTGTTTGTGGGTGAGAGAGGAACGCAGAGGCCTTTTACATCTCTGAAGGTATATTTCAGTTTCTCTCATCTTCATTTCCCATAAAACCTCTCTACAAACTATCATCAAGCAAATCAATTAATAGTTGTGTAAAAATTTTATCATTCTTGTGGTCTGTCTTATGATGCATAGGGTGGCCCTTATTTTTGGACTTTTGAAATCTTCTGCTCTCACCCACCCAGTCAACTCCCCTTCATGGGAAATGGAAACAAACCAAATTTAGCTGAGATTGGAGGTTTGGAGTGCGAGCAACAAAATTGAAATTCTGTCTTAATGACTATAACAGCACGTGATTAATAATTATACAAGACCATTAGTAAACTGTGAATTAGGTTAAAAACCAGAACATCGAACAGTGTTGTTAGACCAGGGGTGCCCAAACTCGGTCCTGGAGGGCCGGTGTCCTGCAGAGTTTAGCTCCAACTTGTCTCAACACACCTGCTGGTAAGTTTCTAGTATGCCTATAAGAGCTTGATTAGCTGGTTCAGGTGTGTTTAATTGGGGTTGGAGCTAAACTCAGCAGGACACCGGCCCTCCAGGACCGAGATTGGGCACCCCTGTGTTAGACCAACATGTAGCACCATTGAGATTCAGCCGCCCCCGAATTCGAGTCCCGGCTCACGGACCTTTCCCGATCCCGTCCCCCTCTCTCTCTCCCACTTCGTTTCCTGTCCACTTACTGTCCTATCGTAATAAAGGCATAAAACGCGAAAAACTTAAATCTTTAAAAAAAAAAAAAAAAGTTAAATTACAATGCTGCTGATGAGAATTTTGAAAAATTGCGATCTGATCTAGATCGTGATGACAATCCAGAAGCAGAATGTTAAAAAGTGAAATGACTGTACTGTTGAAGAAAGTGAACTTGGAACAAAACTGAGAACTGATCCAGATATTAATGATGATCCGAAAAGTCCTTCAACCACAGTACTCATGCGGGGACCTGGAAACAGACTTTGGTGCTCTCTGACAATCTGCATAATGAACTGCGTTTGTTCTTCAGTCTTTGAGAGGAGTCTGTTGTACTCTTGGATAAGCGCAACACCTCTTTCTTGCATTTGCACTGTTTGCCCAGGAACCAGTATCTTCATTTAGGAAGTCCTGACGGAGATCAAGAATAAAGAAGTTGTGAGTGTTGTCCTGCAGAGTTTAGCTCCAACTTGTCTCAACACACCTGCTGGTAAGTTTCTAGTATGCCTATAAGAGCTTGATTAGCTGGTTCAGGTGTGTTTAATTGGGGTTGGAGCTAAACTCAGCAGGACACCGGCCCTCCAGGACCGAGATTGGGCACCCCTGTGTTAGACCAACATGTAGCACCATTGAGATTCAGCCGCCCCCGAATTCGAGTCCCGGCTCACGGACCTTTCCCGATCCCGTCCCCCTCTCTCTCTCCCACTTCGTTTCCTGTCCACTTACTGTCCTATCGTAATAAAGGCATAAAACGCGAAAAACTTAAATCTTTAAAAAAAAAAAAAAAAGTTAAATTACAATGCTGCTGATGAGAACTTTGAAAAATTGCGATCTGATCTAGATCGTGATGACAATCCAGAAGCAGAATGTTAAAAAGTGAAATGACTGTACTGTTGAAGAAAGTGAACTTGGAACAAAACTGAGAACTGATCCAGATATTAATGATGATCCGAAAAGTCCTTCAACCACAGTACTCATGCGGGGACCTGGAAACAGACTTTGGTGCTCTCTGACAATCTGCATAATGAACTGCGTTTGTTCTTCAGTCTTTGAGAGGAGTCTGTTGTACTCTTGGATAAGCGCAACACCTCTTTCTTGCATTTGCACTGTTTGCCCAGGAACCAGTATCTTCATTTAGGAAGTCCTGACGGAGATCAAGAATAAAGAAGTTGTGAGTGTTCTGCTATTGTTGTGACATGTTGCCAAGTATGGTAACCCATACCAAGTGCACACACACACAGCAGTGAGTAGTGAACACACACACACCCGGAACAGTGGGTGGCCATTTGCTCCAACGCCCAGGGAGCAACTGGGGGTTTGGTGCCTTGCTCAAGGGCCTCAGTCGTGGTTCTTCGGGTTACAAGTCCGACTCTCTAACCATAAGGCCACAACTGCCCTACTTCTAGTGGAAAAACAAAGGGGCAGTTGTGGCCTAATGGTAAGAGAGTCACCTGATATCAAAAACAGTCAAAAGTTTATCAGTGAACAAAACTTTTGCTAATATTACCAATCAGATCTTGAAGTACTGGTTGATAAAAAGATACGCATACCCTAAATGACAAATTAGCTGGATGGTATTTTGCATTACATACTTCTAGTGGAGAAACAAATGAGGGGGTGAGAGGTTTCCAATAAATAATATTTACCCCCCAATAAGGGCCACCCTAATGATGCAGTGACACAAAAGCAACCGTTTTATGCTCATTGATATAGTGAAGTTCAAAGCGTTTCATACTTTTTAAATGCAAGCTTTCAGAGTGGCTGACCATGAAATACAAAAACATTTTTTAGTGACCTTGTTATGTGTTAGGCATGCCAAACCACATTGTTCTTTTTGTTGCCATTGAAGTTTAATGTTTGGCATGGTCGGTGGATCCATGTGACTCACTGGCGCCGGGTTAATAGTTTTACTAGAGAATGCTACTTCCTGAATGCTAGCGGGAAATTGGATGACCCTTAGAACCAGTGTACACACGCAAACACACATTGAGAGGGTATTGCACATCACACCTAAATGAACTTGCCACAATTTGCATTGCAAATGTCTGAAGTGTGGAATTGCACCCAGTCATCATTCAAAAGTATCCAATTATGTCGTCTTTGGGGAGACGTTTTCTCTGGCAGAGTAAAGGTTAATTTTATGTTGGCCTTCTGAATCTTTTCCTGGCCACTGCAGGAGGAAGACAGACTCCCAGAGTGCACTGGGCCTGAGGACGCCCACGAGCAGGCTGCTCCTCTGCCTCACACCCACAGTCAGTGTGCTGGTAAAAGCTCTTCCTCTCACGGTCCTTCTCTGCTATCATTTTAGCAACATACAGTACTAGACTAAAATACATTTCATTTGTCATTTGAATATTAAATGATTTTAATAACACAAAATTAAAGTTTTAATGTTCCTGTTAACACTATTTTTAATTAAATGTGAATTGAATCTCTTTTAATGTGTCTTACCCTTACATTTACCCACTCACTCTCCAGATGATACATCTGTGAGCTCCGAGATGCCCCATGAACAGGTGACCTCAGTCAAAGACCTTATTTCATCTACTGAACCTTCCTCCCTTGTGACCTCCGAGATGGTATCTCCCTCATCGGGCCAGCCTGAAGTTGGTGATTCTAATACAGGAAGGTACAATTTCCATCTATCAGCATTTGCTTGTGGATTTTCTCTGTCTCACTGATATAAAGTGCTAGTTAATGATTCATCAAAAATAAATTATGGTCTGCTTTCATTCAAAATGCCTACCACACACCCAAAGATCACATTTGCTAGTCAAATGCGTGTCGTCTCTTCCTGTGTTGGGCTGTTTTGTGTAGACATATTAAGGAGTTATTACTACTGACAGAGCCTCACTTTGCATGTTACCATGCACCTGTGAGGCCAGGCTCGGACAGACGCCCCATCCATGCTCTGCTGGAGCACACAAACCATCATTGCACTTACTGAGAGCAGCTGCATCCTGAAAGATTGGAAAAACAAACCGACAATATAGTGACAAACTTTCTCTTTCCTTCTGGGTCAGGACCCAGCAGCCCATTGCCACAAACCGAGGATCTGAGGGAGAGCGTGCGGCCGCCACAGCCGACATGAGTGACTCGCAGGTCAGTTTGAGGAAGAAGAGGAAACCAAGGGGAAGCTTGTTGCGTTTGTAGCGTCGTTTGCCATTTCTTCCTCTTCCCCTTTTGTGTTTCTGCTTTGCATGTTACCATGCACCTGTGAGGCCAGGCTCGGACAGACGCCCCATCCATGCTCTGCTGGAGCGCACAAACCATCATTGCACTTACTGAGAGCAGCTGCATCCTGAAAGATTGGAAAAACAAACCGACAATATAGTGACAAACTTTCTCTTTCCTCCCGGGTCAGGACCCAGCAGCCCATTGCCACAAACCGAGGATCTGAGGGAGAGCGTGCGGCCGCCACAGCCGACATGAGTGACTCGCAGGTCAGTTTGAGGAAGAAGAGGAAACTAAGGGGAAGCTTGTTGCGTTTGTAGCGTCGTTTGCCATTTCTTCCTCTTCCCCTTTTGTGTTTCTGTTTCTTTCTAGTTTTGCCTTTCTGTCTTGTCATGTTCCTTTGTAAAAAAACTTCCTGTTTGGTGGTCCTGTGTAGTGAGAGAGTAGCTACCTTTTCTGTTGTGCCGTAAAGGGGAGCCTGCAGTTGGCCGATTGAGAGAGTTCTGGATGGCGGTAAGCAAGAATGACTGCTCGTGAGAGGACGTGCCTACCCTCTTATCGATGTCATGTGCCAAGGCTTTCGGTTTTGTTTAGAATTGCTTTGTGTGAGCTGCTTTTCAAGTTAATACAAGCATCTGACAACCTGGTTTCGTAAGTTGAATTTGCCCGTTTGTTTGTCCAGGATCAGATATTAACTGTTTTATTAATCTGCAAAGCTAAGCATTATTCTGACATATGCAGTGTGCTAATTGCCCCATTGTTGACTCTGTCATGAACGTTGTTAACTTATAATGATAAGATGGGAGATATTTAGGTGAACTTGGAGTGCAACCAAAATAAACCGCACTTCATCTGAGGGCTTCTCTGCACTTCAGTTCATAGGGAGTGGGCAGTGTTAAACCTCTATTAATACAGCATGCAGCATATTACTAGACATCAGTGTAGGTAGGGTATAATTCAACTGTCCTATAACATGTATTGGTTTTAAAGAAATGCTTCATATTCGGGTCTAGCCTAAATGCATAAAAGCTAGTTTACGCTGCCATTCAAAATTTTGGGGTCAGTATGATGCTTGTATTAAAAAATAAATAATAATAATTATTATTTTATTCAGCAAGGATGCATTCAATTGAGTAAAAGTGACAGTAAATGTATATATCATTTTATATAAGATTTCTATTTCAAATGAATGCTGTTCATTTAAACTTTTTATTCATCAAATATATTAAAGGGGTCATATGATGTTGCTAAAAAGAACATTATTTTGTGTATTTGGTGTAATGAAATGTGTTTATGCGGTTTAAGGTTAAAAAGACTTAGCATTTGTTGCATCCAGTGGGGACATAATTACGGATTATAATGAATTGTACTGTCTTTTAACGCGTTGCGTTGCACATACAGTCTGAGTCAGAACAGCCGGCATTGTAGTCTACTCTACCAGGATCAGGAAAAAGTTCTGCATAAAATGTGCTGGACACATCTGAATATTTGGGTCGAACTGTTCTGGAACAGTGTTGTAAATACAACTTAACCACTTATTTTTAGTCGTGTCCTCTTTTGGAAGGCCAAACAAAGTCGTTTCTCTTTCACAACGAAACACATGGCGGGCTAGAGTGAGCGGTGGCGGGCGGGCTTGAGAACGGCGCAGCCGGCGGATTCGACGAAGGAGCGTCTGGCGGGCTTGCGGCAACCACATGTGATGACCCTGGGCTGGACTCTGCTTCGTACACGGTGAAAGCCGATCCGGCGATCCACAGCGCGAAGTTGATGTATTTCCTCAGCGACCAGCACGGATCAGCTCCAGGCATGACGAAGCGGATATCATTCTCTTTTGGAAGGCCAAACAAAGTAGTTTCGCTTTCACAATGAAACACACAGCACCTTCACGACATGGCAGCGGCGGTAACAACAATACTACAGCCAGAATAAAAGTGACGCCTTCTTTCTTTGCGTGAACGCTTGGGCTGCATTATGCAAAACTTTCCACATCGTGACGTAGACATGTGGGGGCATGTTAGAATGAGCCATTTTAGGCAGGCGTGGACAAGACTTAAGTTTTATAAAGAATATCTCTTTGGATTTGAGACTTTAGTCTTTGCAACTTTACAAATCTTCTTTATGCACCAAGAGCTTGTAACACTCCAAAGAGAAAGGAAAAATTGAAATCGCATCATATGACCCCTTTAAGATTCAAACAGGTCAGGTGGCATAATTTATTGAGTTTAATAGAGACTGATCTGTGTGCAGAT